TGCTATTTTGAAAGCTGTCTCGAATCCAATCTCTTCTTCTGGGATAACAGGAGAAGAGAGAAAACCTGAGGGGTGTAGGGGATTGAGCACCTATAGCCATTTTGCTATCACTTGAAGTCTGAGAATGGAGTCAAAGCTAAAGAATCGAAAGAGAGTGTAAGAAATTGGGTCCTCGAATGGCCTTTAAGTCATGAATCGAAAGATGCCTAGAATAGGAATCCACAGCCTTCCCGCTTAATGTGAGCCAGTAAATTCTGTTTGGGATGAGTTTCCTAGCATTTGCAAAGGAAGGAATCCTGTTTGATACAGAAATGATCCTCATTTTCTAGCTGAGGTAAATGAGGTTCCAAAAGATTAGCTAATTTGCCAAGTTCTCTTATTTATTAAGTAAACAAGCCAGGATTCAAAGTCACTTCTTCACTTCAGTTTGCTAAAAGGAGCTGCTGGTGGTGGGCTCAAACTGGATTTTTAATTGACTACAATGTGACAAACATGAAAAAAACAAAGACACACCAGAAAGACAGGAGTGAAGTAAAGATAAGGAGTGAAGGACATTGTAAATGAGGTACAGGGTTTGATGATTTCTGAAGATTCTGAAAATCTGAGATTTCCCTGGTTGTCCCATCCCAGAGACTCAGCGAGGCGGGAGATTAAGAATGGTTCTTCTTACCAGGTTGGCAATTTATAGGGTCCTAGTTAGAAATCATTATAAGCATAACATCTGTTTATTGATTTGCTCAAACATTGATATTCCCTATCCATAAGAATAATTTGCATTTCATTTCTAAGAATAGTTAGTTGCTAGTGCCACAAAACCATGGAAAGCAAACCCAGACTCATGAAGACCCTCAGTTTCAGAAGGCAAATCACCATGAGCTATGCTAATTATTCAGCTTTTTCCCATTAGAATACTCCAAAGTGAGCCCATACACCTTGGGGGTCAAAGTATCTCATCTGTTCCAGCCCTCAACAGGTATTTAATTTTTGAAGTTTCATGTTTTCAAATTCATGCTGATTTTTTGAAAAGATTTTATTTATTTGAGAGAGAGAGAGAGAGTGAGCGACAGAGCACAAGCAGGGGGAGCAGCAGAGGGAGAGGGAGATGCAGACTCCTGCTGAGCAGACCCCGGGATCAGGACCCGATTCAAAGGCAGATGCTTAACTGACTGAGCCACCCAGGTGCTCCCAATTTTTCATGTCGATTTTACATTCTCCTCCATCATATATATTTGCATATGTATTATATTTATAAAGTAATATAAATAAATATGTATAAACCAAGCAAACAGAAAACCAGGAGAAAAGAAGAGGAGAGTTTAGAAGTCTGCCTGAGTAAGTAGGCTCAGGAGTGAGATCAAGTCAGACAGCACTGACAGGCCTGAAGTGTGAGAAGTGTTGGAAGACAATTTGGAAGATCTTGGAGAGATCCATTTTATGATGCAGTAGCATGGCGAAGAAAATAACCTTTGGCTTTAGCCAACAACACAGATGGGAAGTGAGCTGCCGAAGGCATTAAGCTAGTTCAGATCCATTTTGTCCAAGTCAAGATATGGCTCAGTAGTAGAGTTTTTCTAAGTTTCTTGGTTGGAAAACTTTACACTGTTCCATGTATTCCAAGTATGGGTATGTGTCTGCTGAGGGCAGGGAGTTGGTCATGGTTCTTTGTGATTTATTTCTTTGGTCTGTGTTCTTCTCTATGGACTGATGCTGCTCAAGGCCTCATTGGGAGTCCTCCTTCAGTGCATATTCTAGCTCTCCCTATGAGTTGCTGCACACACTGCTGGAATGCTCTATTATGGTTGGGTAAGGGTGTTTTTAGACAGGACAAGGAAGAGTGAAGATACCATTCTGATTTAGATCACCCTCCCTGTAGTCCTATAGCTATCTATGCTCTTCTTACATTAAACTTTTGACCTCATAGGGGCTGTTCTTATGACCCTTCTGAGAAGTCTATTTTTGTTATCATTCTGGAACTAGCCACCTCCAATGTATTATGGTATTGGTGTGCATAAAGAGATGCTGGAATGGAAATCATGGTTGCCATGTACCAGCATGTCCTGGATGCAATAATGCAGAGTTGTTTTGGCAGTTCAGCACTGGCAATCTAGATAGAAATCATGTTGTTCATAGAATGTGAAGAAGTGTTTTATTTGTTGGTAAGAGACAGCAAGTCTCCATTTCACTAACAATAAAAGGCACATACAGATCTGGAAGACCTTAAATAGTGATTGCCAGAATCAGTTGACATTTGAGTAGATTTCTCTGGAGTAGGGTTGAGAGGTTGAAAGACTGAGAAATGGATAGGGAAGGCCAGAATAATGTATATAACAGAAGACTATATATATATATTTTTTTTTTCTTTTTTTGGGTGGGAAAATTCACTCTAAGGCTTAACAAGCTGATAAAGCTTCCATACTAGAGTGAAAGCTTCTGTGTACAGGATGGTGTCTCGAATGTACATCTTTGTTTCACATACTCCTTAGCCCTTATTTGGTCCTTAGGTGATGTTTGTTGAAATAAATCTAAGAGAATAAACAAATAAAGTATGTATCAGCCTAGGACTATTATATCTTTCTAGAATAATTATCTTTACTTTCATTTTCAAATACATATTAAATAAAAAATAAGACCGGAAGTAATATGAGGTTCTCAAATTTATGAAAATAAGAGTTTTATTTTATTTAACTTGTATTTGGCTTACAGTATCTCAGACAGTTATTGTTATAAAGTAAAACTAACTCTTACTTATTTCTCTGAGTTGGCGATGTGGACACTTATACAGAAAATTTGAGTGTATTTGTTTTCTATTGCTGCATAGCAAAGTTACCACAAAATTAGCAGCTTAAAACAACACACATTTATTATCTTATTGTATTTGTGAGTCAAGAGTTTGGGTAAGGCTTAACTCATCCTCTGTATAAGTCTCATAAGCTTCAATCACAGTGTTGTTCAGGTTGGGGTCTTATTCAAGTTTCAACAGGGGAAGGACCTACTCCCAAGCTCACTTGGTTGTTGGTAAAATTTAATTTCTAGCAGTTGTAGAACTGAAGGCTTCAGTATTTACTTGCTGTCAGCTAGAGGCCACCCTCAGCTCCTTGCTGGTGGTTGGCTGGAGGCTGTTCCCAGAGCCATGTTACATGGACCTTCCCCAAATTGCTCCGTGCTTTATCAAAGTCAGCAAGAGAGAGTCTCTTTGCAAGATGCAGCTAACAATCTTATGCAACCTAATCATGGGAGTGACATTTCATCGCCGTATGGTACTGATTATTCTGTTGGTTAGAAGGAAATCACAGATCCTATCTAGACTTAAGGAGAGGGAATGAGGCAAAGGCATGAATATTGGGAAAGGGGATGATGAGGACTATGTTAGAGTCTGTTTACCACATATAGAAAGGGAGAAAACATAATTCCTGTCACTTTTATAATTCTATCACTGGTAAAGCCTCATTGACAATATTTATTTAGGCTGAAAGACACAAATATTTCAGACATTAGAAACTCTGTAGGAGAAGCATTTTTCCTGTTTCTATTTCACTTGATTACACAAAAATTCATTTTCCTTCAAGGTTCTGAAGTTTATCTTGTTGGTTAATTTTTGTATTATCATATCTTTAAAAATAATTGCCTTTGGTGAGTTCATGATAAAGCAGAATATTTATTAAATAAGGCCTTGGTTTTGATTCCTTCAGAAAAATAACCACGGCCAAGGAAGATATCTTCACTCAAACTCAAAATTCACTCTTTATTTAAAGTCCTTTAAAACTTCATCTGTTATATTTTTCCTACACAAAATAGGTCCATATTGCTGTTGTTATTTTACAAATGTGTAAATCAAGGCATAGACCTGGACAGAGTTAATCAGAAGCAAAGGGTTTTAGACACTCCAAGAGCTGACATCCTTTTTTTCCACTAAACCACGCTTTTTCTTCAAATTTATTGGGTCAGTCTGTGATTGTTTGGTAAATATATCACCTTGACTTTATCATACCTGTCCATTCCTCTGTTCCTTGTCTTTGCCATTTGGCTCTTTCTCATTTTTCATTTCCTATTCCAGTGATTATTTTCAGAGCCCATCTCTGCCTCCCATTTCTTATCCTACTCTATTGATAAAATTTTTCTCCTTCCCACACTACGCATATAGAAGTTTACTTTTGTGAAGTCATTAACTACTTGATAGCTTGCCCCTTAGAAATGCTGAGGTGAATTAATTAAGATATTTCCTGTGAGATTTGGTCAATTTTCCCTTGACTTGAATTAATATAATCTGTACATGTTTTAGCATCCTCTCTGTCATTATTTGTAGCCCTGAAATAAAGATTTCTCAGAGGACTAAAGAAATTTGGGAATATGTTCTACACTGTCCAAATGAGACTCCCTCAGGGTTGATTAACCTAAGACATTTTAGTGGAGCAGAAAGTAATTTTCATTAAAATCTTCTTCAGCTAATAGGCAAGATGAATCTTTATTTCAAGGAAAAGAAGGTATACAGGATTTTTCCTCCTTGACATAAAGATTGTAAATAAAAAGAAGCTGATGTAAGCATTCTTCTCCATCTTTAATCTCAGAGATCTAAGTAGATCTTTTGTTTTCTGAAGATGAAGCAAAAAAAAGAAAATCACAATAAAAATGGATGCATCAAAACCATTATCAATGAATAAAAATCTGTCATTCATATATCCCCAAAGCAGATCCCATTATTAAAATTATGTTTGGATCCATCTGAAATTGCCGAACAGGTTATTTGAAATTGCCAAAATCAGGTCCAGTCACCTAGTTATTTTCAGAGGTCAGGTATTTCTTGACATTGAAGTCACAATATATAAATTTCTTTGAACAAACAAAGGAGTATTCACCACATGTGTGCATGACCTAGGTGATGCATATTCAAACTTAGAAATCCATACCTTTCTTTTTTATCACCAGGTGAAAATGCTACTGGTTTCTGTTTAAGAACTTGGAATCATGGAATATAGGTTGGAGATAAAGAGGCTAAAACTAACCTGATGCAGGTGCCATTGTTGTGGCATAGATGATGAGCACACCATGGGACATGGCAGTTCTCAATGTTCTTTCCATGCAGTGCGTTATCAATGATGAAGAATTCTTTGTTGTTTACTTGAAGCTCTTGAATGCAGCCTTTGAAGCCATAAATGTGACCTGCTTTCTTATGGATCTTAATATTTGCTGGGATATGGCCAAGAAACATTGATTCAAAATGTACCTATAGGAAAAACAACAACAAAACAACATCTTACAAGGTATGGTCAGATTATATGACAAAGACCTAAAATGTTCTGTTCTATAATGCGTTTTAATGTATTTTTTTTCTGTGTAAAACAGGTTGTAATTGTTGCTTAGTTTTGTCACCTCTACTAGGTAGTAGGATAAGTTACTTTTGAAAAGGGCCCTTATTTTACATTTCTTTTGTATCTCTCACAATATCTAATAAAACAGTAAAAAATAAAGAGCATTAATAAAACTTGCTGATTGATTACTCTGAAATGTATTTTGGAACTCAAGTGTTTGCATTTTAATGTGAATATCATCAAATAATGGCAGAGAAAGAAAATAGAGCCTTGTTAACTAACTATTGTTAGGGACTGAATTGTGTTCCCCCAAATTCATATGTGGATGTTGTAACACTCAGTAGCTCAGAATGTGACCTTACTTGGAAACAGAGTTTACTCACTGACCAGAATGACAATAAAACCACTGGCACAAAGTAAACTGTGACTTAATCTTTCTTCCTACCCTTCAATAACATATATAAATTGAATTCTCATCATTTATATGTATATAAAATGTAGCTTCCCCAGGAGGAATTTATGAGTTACAAAAGAATTCTGGATGAACCGGTAATGACACCCTGATCTTCAGGGCTTTTGGCATATGAAAGGTGCATGCAGCAGCATTTCTGCATGTTATGTCTTTGATGTCCTTATCCCCAAAACACATTCAAGCACTCCAAACTGATAGCTGAAAAATATTTACACTGACATTACAGATACACTAAAATGGAAAACTATCATTGCAAGAATTCTAAAACTAGGGCCAAATAATTAAGTTAGGGCTCTAAGGGGAGAAGAGGATGGGAAATGCTTAGTAATGCCACTTAATGTTTATACTAATATGTTCTGGTTTGATGCAAATGTGCTTTTAGGGAACAGAAGCGTGTTCAATTCTAGGAATATCAAAGCATCTCCACAACCCATAATAGATCAAACTAACTCTATTATTTGAGCTCTTGTTCTTTTTTAGTGACTCGAGTTCTGCTCCTGAAGGCATTCTTAATTTTATGTATATGTATTTTATAAAAGATTCAGCTATGTAGTTATCCAGAGGATGACTAACTTTGGGCATCGTGGGGCAGAAGTCTCAAGGTGTATTGAGTACGCATGCAGCACAGGAATACGTCTGTTTTCACATCCTTTCTCGTATGTTAGCTCATTTATACTAATTACTCTAACAAACTATTGCAGAATTCCTTTATCATTTAAGATATGTGACTCACTGCTAATGCAATCTGGGATCTATCACGAACTTGCAGACTCAGCAATTCCAAGGCCATGACCCTCTCTCACCGAGGATCTCTGACATCTTTGTGTATTGATCACACACCTGGAACAGCAAACCCTCTCACAGCTTTGACAAGTGTGCTGTTTTAGCACAAAACTGATAGAAGATGGAAGAATATCCTCTTCTTCTGTCAGCAGTAGGCAGATCTGAGGGAAAGTCTATACAGTTATCTATGATTTATTAGACCATTAAAAAACACCCAAACAATGAAGTAGATGGCTCTTGTATTTCTTCTGATCTGAGGCTCAAGCTTAGCTAGAGTCCTGAAATGTCTGAAAAAGCTGCTGCCGTTGACTGCACATAGATAACCATTAAAATGGTTGACTTCCTCTATCCCCAGACTCTTAATTATCCAAGAGCTGCCTTTTGTGTGTATAATCATTCCTAAGGAGACAGGTCTTTAAAATAAGTCTTTTCTAATAACTTCTTGTGAATCAGACTATGGAGAATAGAGTCTGACATCAAGATATGATCTTACAAGATAAAACCACAGAGAACAGACATGGATAATCAAGGAGGAATCATCAAGATAATGAAGAATATGAATGGTGACTGAGGGAAAAGGACTCCACAAATGACTAGGTGAAATGAGCATTCCCTTTCCTCTCAGAGTTTTCTCTTTAAAGGAAGAATATAGCTGCTCTTTTATAAAATGTGGGAATAAAATAAGAAGACAGGCCAAAGGGAAGAGACTTCTAAAAACCAGAAGTGGAGACAGATAAGAAGCTGCTTTATCTCTTTTTTATTCTGTTTTAACTTGAATTTGGACACTGGAGTCTACATTCATTTCTGTAATGGTATCTTGATTCAATTTAGTTTTACAGCCTCAAATCTGTCTGAAATTAAATAACTTTTATGTTAATAGGAAGGTAACTCTAATGTACTTTTTACTTAAGATAACTATTGGAGTGTACTTGTCTTTACCCAAGAATATGATGACTTATAACTGAAATGAATTGACTTTATGTGTTGATACCAAATTTTTGTTTTTAATATTTTCTGAATTGTATGCAAATTCAAAACCAGAAAACATCAAGTCTTAGAATAGGGATGAATAAGAGATGTTGGCTAAGGTGTTTGGGAAGAAGGATTATTTAAATAACTTCTTACATATGATTTGTCTAAAATTTCTAAAAATTTAGAGGCATTAAATCAAAGGGGATCAAAAGGCAGAACAAGTATATATCTCAATCCTTCATCTCTTTGCAGTTAGAAGATCTCTCTCTCTCTCTCCTCCCCTCCAATAGTATAATAATCTGTGATCATACAGTCTCTTCTATATTTTTATCCCTTTAGGGTAGGCCCTCCAACGTGGTCATCTTGGGATTCTCTTAAGAGTCTACAGCAGTGTCTTACAAATAGGTGGTTTAATGTAAGTTTGTTACAAATCACCTTATTCATGAAACTTAATACTATTTTTTTTTTTTTTTTACAGTTTCTTATTTATCTTCTAGGCCTCTTCCACTTTATGCTGCCATAGAACCTTGTGGTTTTGCTAGATTCAGCATATGGGAGGTTGTCACTGGATACCACTCAAAAAGGAATATTAATATGGCTTTAATTCTAATATAACTTTCTATATTTAGTATATATAGTATTGAGTGCTGAGTGGTGCTTATATGGAAGTTCTCGAATTTCTTACGAGATTAATATCAAGTAGCTTAAACAAAGAGGTTTTTTTTTTTGTTTTTCTTTTTTTAAAGTTTGATAAATAGTAATGAAATCCTCAATGGTCCCATATTTTACAGTTAAATCTTTGGTTCTTAAGGGTTTTTAGGTTAGGAAATGTTCTCAAAATAGTATCTCCTCACTTTGTCAAAGAAAGAAGTGAACTTTAGTGAAACAATCAATGAACTGAGTTGCTACCCTGTGAGCACAGTGATATAGGAAAGTGGAAATACCCACCCCCCAAAAAAAGGATATGGGATTATTCTTGTCTGTAAAGAAATTTAATGTAATCTGGGGGAATGAAATCACATGGAAATGAAATACCTAGAAAATTCAGTGTACTGATCAGCAAGATGGCCAAATAAAAAGCTCCAGATATTTCTTCTCTTAGGGAAACACTAATTCAACAAAAATACACAGACCAAATCCTTTTGTGAGAAATGAGTAGATTGAGTTAAGAAGCACTTGTACCCTAGGTGAATATGAAACCAGCTGTATCGAAGATGGTAGGAAAATCTGTGACACTGGCCAAAGCTTCCCCCCAGACTCAGTGAAGCATAACTGGAAGAAAACATCCAGCTCCCAGTTCCACTCTGGGGAGGGAAATAGAAGACTGAAACATATATACTAAGTGCAGACTTTTCAGGGCCTGCCCAAGGGACTAGCTTCTGTCTTGCCTGAATCTAAGTGCTGATAAGAAAATGTGCCAGGTTGGTGGCTACCGAGAACAAAGACAAAGTTTTGGACTAGCATGCACTCACTCACCATAGACATGTCCTGCAGCTCACTGGGAAGGGTGGGTAAAACCTCCTTAACGTCTGACTTCTCCCTGGCAATGGAAAGAGTTGAACTGTGCATCCAAAATAATGGCTTTTCAAGGGGCTGACTGAAGAATAAGTTTGTTTCCTCTGTCTTGGAGTGCTGACAGGACATCCCATTATGTAGATGTCTGGCCATCACCGAAAACAAAAGATGGCTGGATGGTATTTTGCTGTTCCAGAGGACCACTGATGTAGCAGACTGAAGCTGATATGATTTTGTGGCCTCTTACTGGGACCAGAGCAAGGGGGTGGAGTGGAGAAGAGTAGAACATGCTTCCAACATTCTGGGTTTTCTATGGGCTTCTGGAGGGCTGGGTTTCTATTTTGCCTGACTTGGAACTTTGACATGACCCATATACCCTAGGAACTCTGGGGCTGCTGAGAACAAAAGAGAACTGGGTAGCTTGTGGCAGCTCCAGAGAAACTGCAGAATTGTAGACAGACACCAGAGGGAGCAAAAGACTATGACTGCCTGAAAAAAGAAACTGGCAAATTCCTATAATAGGGAATTTACACACACCAGTCCACAGAAGATAAAGGTTTGAGAGGTTCCCAGACTCTCTAGCTGGGCTGATTGATGAAGGTCCTTTCTTATACAGAACAAGTCCATAAAGACTGGGAGAGATGTCTGTTTTTTCAAATGTGTAGATCCCATCATGAATTTTAAAAGGTACAGGAAGAAACAGGAAAAATCAAAGGGGCAGAAGAAATCTCTAGCAACCAACCCTAAAGAAATTGAAGTACCTGACAAAAGAATTTTTAAAAAGCTGTCACGAAGAACCTGAATGAGTTCAGGAAAATGAAGCATGAAGAAAATGAGAATATCAACAAAGAGAAAAGACAGTAAAGAATCACCAAGAAGTTTTGGAGCTGAAGATACAAAATTAAATTGAAAAAATCACTAGAGTGATTCATCAAAAGATTTGATCAAGCAGAAGAAAGAAATCAGTAAACTCAAAGACAGGTTTCTTTGAAATTATTGAGTTAGAGGACTAAAAAGAAAAAAAGATTGAAAAAGAGTGAAGAAAGCCTAAGGAACTTATAAGACACTATCAAATGGATCAATATATGTATTAGGGGACTATCAGAAGAAGAGAGAGAAGGATAGAATCCTTACTTGAACATATGATGACTTAATAAACATGAGAATTTTAAC